TAAAACATTAAAAAAACAGAATCAGGTAAAAAAAGTAAGCGGAAAATGGTAAATTAGCACAACTCGACTTCCAAACTGGCTTTTCAAGGGAAATTTAATTTATTTGAACGTCAAATCAAGCTATATATATAATACGGAATGTATATTTTCAGTTAAACTTCTATCCAATAACTTTAGTAATTCATGAAAATAAATTTTGCGTCTAGTTAATTCAGGAAAATTAGTTTCAATTAGTTGTTTTCAGCTTTAAAAATATTAAAAATTTTTTAATTAGTTAGTTGTTTTCAACTAATAATTGTATCGAAATTAGCAAAAATAATGCATTACTATTAACAGCATAGGATTAAACCAAATACTTAATTGTCTATTGAAGCTTCAAAACGTATTTCCGAACTTCACTTTTTCTCGGCTAGCATTACCGAATTTGCCCTTGGCGACCTAAAATCAAAATGGAGCCAACAGATTTCCCGCGAAATCGATAACATCTGCAGAAATAAACTCATAATTCCGATATCCTATACATATAGTATGTGCAAAAGAGAATAAACTCCGTAGAAGGTGATAAAAATTAATTTATGGCTTAATTGAAACAAACAAAGAAATTAAACTAAGCAAAACCGTTGTAAAAACAAATTGAAATGATAAAACGAAACTTAATTTTCATGTGAATTTTCAGAGCTCTGACTCTTCCCATTCTAGAAATTTCAATTTGTTTCAGACAAAGACCACATTTAGCTTTAATAAGCTTTGTCATCCATCAATATCCAGTCTTTGTAGTCAGCTTGATGAGGCCACAGCTTATTGAAAATGCACTTTGCCAGGCTTCTCGTTCCTATTGGCGTCGGAAGGGTTCTGGCCTTCCAGGTTGGGACTGCTCTAATTTTGGCAAATATTTTCAGAATCCCAATCCCCCCTTTTTTTTTCTCGAGCACCTTCATCATCACTTTCGCCTCTTAAAGAACTTCCAGCTTCACGCTTTCGTCACAATCTGCCTAAATTTATGGATAACACCTGTTTCAAAAGATTGGGTGAATAGCCAATCAGACCCCGATACTTTCGTTCGCGTAGGCTAGGTAATTTTTTTTTTTTTTTTTTTTTTTTTTAAATCGTTTGCAACGCAAATCCGCCAACAGATTGGTTAAGAGCCGTGTAATTTTAATTTCCATATTCATGAGAAATTCGCAATTCACACTTAGAATGGCAATCATTAGAAATGATCAGAAAATGTCAAATGAGCAAAATTAAGGACCGTTTATTCATTTTGGCCAAAATTAAGGACTTTTAAGAACGAAAAATCATTTTTGAAAAAATTAAGGACTTTTAAGTACCATACGAACCCTGTCAAAATAATGTACTAAGTATTGTACACATTAAAAAGGTCTACAGATTTAAAAATTGCGGGACGTAGCGTTTGCGGCGGGACCAGCCAGCCGGGGCAGCAGGAGCGTGCCTATAAATAGTGCGTCGGAGGCCACGGTTCTCCCGATAGCACTTTGAATTTAGCAGCGATCGGACGCGTTTATTATCGGAGCTCCCTGGCGAGGAAAATAACAATATACTTAATAAAAACGTGCTTTTCAGCGCGACAACGCATCAGTTAGCCAATCACTGTACTACGCATTCACTAATGACAAGAAAGCTGTGAACGTTGTATATAAAGACATTCTGTAATACATTCATTGTTGTAAAAATAAAATAAATAGGTAACAATGTAAAAAGTAAATAAGTATAAATGTAGTGTATGAATTTAGATATTCCAAAGATAGCAGGAAATCTTCATGGTATAGGGAAAAGGGAATTGTTTTACTCCAAATTTAACGCGTGCAGGCCACGGGCAGTAATGAATAAATCAAAACTACTGGATCGATTTTAATCATTTTTTCAGTGAGTGCCATAGGCTATATATTTTATACCCGTGTGAAGCCGGAGCAGGTCGCTAGTTTAATATAATTGTAAGATTACGTACTATTTAACCGTTTGGGACCCAATTTCCTTTCCTTTGGTTTTAGATTATTTGGGGCAAATATGGGTTTTTAACAGGAGCAAATAGGGATGAGACAAATATATCCCAGTGGGATTTTTAACTGGGATATATATGTCCCAATGAGAAAATAAATAAAAGTTTCATGTAATACAAAATGAAAGTCTGGACACATGTATCCCAGGCACAATTAGTGAACCAAATTATGTGTTACATAAAAAAAAAAATCGCTAAAGAAGTGGCTAACTTACCTGAGAAATTCGTTCCAAAAAATGACACAATATATGTACAAATACAGGATATAAAGTAGATCATATGCAGTTCTGTTGCTGTTTACAAACATACTGACCTGCACAGACGTGTCTCTGCTTGCAAAAGCATTTCAAAAACATCACCAGTAGTTCAAACACCCGTTTAAGCATATTTCCATATAAAACGGGATGTAGATGGCCCGGTGGAGATATTTTGGTATGCGTTGGGATCTATATGTCCCTATGGAACTAAAAGTGTTAAAAACGATTTTATTCCAGGGAATTTTCAGCATCTCATATATCTATGGAATCCAAGATTCTAGCATACTTGTAACTAAGGTCTTTAATGTCTTGTTTACAGTATTCTCACAATCTGTCAGTCACGAAGTTTATTACCTATACCTAATTTTACAGAAATGTGCAATTTTTGTTCTCCCATCTACAATAATGTAAATATTACAACTAGTCACAACTTAGGAATCTATCGGTTACAACAGCAAGGTCTAATGAATGTGAACTAATGAAACATCAAATATAAATATAAGACTGCAATCAATTTCTTCTACTGTATATATTAATGCTTGCTAAAATACTTCTAAATTTCTCTAAGATATCATATTATAGGCAAATATATATGATTACTAAAATTGAGAACATAGAACTGAGAAAAAGTACAGAAAGCTATTTCATTAGGAAAATGCACTCAAACTAGTAGAGAATATAAATACATCAGAAGCTTTCAATCTATTAACATATAAACAAAAGAAAGTCTTTGATATTAAAACCAGCTGAAAATATTCAAGAATTATTAGGAGAAAAAGTTATTAGAGAAATGGCATACAGTTCAAGAGACAATTATAACATGATAATAAGTAAGACATAATAACACGCCGAATAAATACTAATTCAGAAGACAAACAACAAAAATCAGCGTTATATTTACAAAATTTCCACAGGACTAGTTTCGATGGTTTTACCGAACCACCATCCTCAGCTGCAAAACCGCAAATGAACAAGATAGGAAAAAATGATTAGATAAGATAAGAAAGCCTGGACAAGAATAAGCAAGTGGCACCATCTGTTGGTGAAACCAGAACTAAAACATAATTTCTTTAAAGGCCGAAGGCAAATTTGGATTGGAATTAGGATCGTTAACTAGAACAGAAAGATTTTTATGAATGTGAAATGCCTCTAGAAAATCCAGTTCTCCAATGGAAGATGGTTTTTTGAATAATTTTGGCAGCAGAAAAATTGAAAGTGAAAGTGTGATTTTCGGACCAACAATGTTGTGCAACAGAAGACTTCTGTGTTTCCTTTTTCTAACATATGCCTCATGTTCCTTGACGCGAAATTTTAAGGCTCTCTTAGTTTGGCCAATGTAAATTAAACCACACTGGCAAGGAATCCTATAAACACCCCAGAAATTCATATCCGGAATGGGGTCCTTAAGTATGGAACTCGGAATTTTATTGATGGGAGAATAAACAACCCGAAAGTTAAATTTCTGCAAAATATGTGCAACTTTATAGCTAATTGATGGAAAGAAGGGAATGACAACAGAATTTTTATAATCTCCTAAAATAAGAGTGTGCTTTTTAGTGTGTTGAGATGAGAATTTTTTAACTGCTTGATTAATAATGTTGGGTGAAAAGCCCCTGTCAATAGTATTTATAGGATTCCTTGCCAGTGTGGTTTAATTTACATTGGCCAAACTAAGAGAGCCTTAAAATTTCGCGTCAAGGAACATGAGGCATATGTTAGAAAAAAGGAAACACAGAAGTCTTCTGTTGCGCCACATTGTTGGTCCGAAAATCACACTTTCAATTTTTCTGCTGCCAAAATTATTCAAAAAACATCCTCCATTGGAGAACTGGATTTTCTAGAGGCATTTCACATTCATAAAAATCTTTCTGTTCTAGTTAATGATCCTAATTCCAATCCAAATTTGCCTTCGGCCTTTAAAGAAATTATGTTTTAGTTCTGGTTTCACCAACAGATGGCACCACTTGCTTATTCTTGTCCAGGCTTTCTTGTCTTATCTAATCATTTTTTCCTATCTTGTTCATTTGCGGTTTTGCAGCTGAGGATGGTGGTTCGGTAAAACCATCGAAACTAGTCCTGTGGAAATTTTGTAAATATAACGCTGATTTTTGTTGTTTATCTTCTGAATGATAATAAGCATTTTTTTAAATACATTAAATAAAAGGTACTCTTTTGTTATTGGTACCGGATTCAGAAAAGTATGTGTGCATGTATGTACACAGATATACATATGCATACATGAACACACACATCCATCCATACATGCATATATACACATCTTTCTGATAACAGAAGAATACCAAATAAAATATACGTAAGTAAGATTGGTAATTTAAAAAAAAAAAAAAAAAAAAAAAAAAAAAAAAAAAAAAAAAAAAGAGAACAAATACAAATTGTTGAAGATGAGTACTTAAAAATGAGAGATATTATGAAAAATAAATATTTATTCTACTGTGCTTAATGGAGAGGAATAGGAAAAGTAAATGAATACACATTATTTAAGAATTCTTTCAAAAACTGTTTCTGCCCTTGAACACATTATCATAAATACTGTATCATAAAAACTTCTAAATATATTATAATAACAAAAACTATTAACATTTCCAGCTTTTGAACTTAATATCTAAATATAAAGAATATTAACAATAAAAAAAAAAAAAAAAAAAAAAAAAACAATGAAAAAACATAAAGCAGACTCCTACATCTTCAATTAAAAAGCAAACTACCTTTTTATTTCCTGTTCTAGTATCCACTGTTATTTGAATAGGTTCTAGTTTCCCTTTTTTAATCACAGGTTCTTTTCCGTCAAATGCAATTTGATAAGCATGTGGCATTTTATTCACTATTCTACAAAGAAAAAAAAAAAAAAAAATGTATACTTATGAGAAATTCATAATCTCACAAGAACAAACTTTTAGCATTATAAAACTTAAAAGTAAATATAATACACAATTTGAATAATCATGTATTATGCGATCTATAGCTATTTAGTGATTGATTTATTTTTTAGATGGTGCACTAAAATTGGTTGTTGTTTTAATCATTTCTTTTCCCTGCCATTTTATCACACTTTCAGATTTAAAAAAATAGTGCTTTAGTGGTACCATCTAAGAAATAAATAACTAATTAAAAGTGGTAGATCCCATATTAAAAGATTACCTAAATGTGAATAAATCCTTTTTAGAACTTTAAAACTTTCCTCACTAGCACGCAATAATAAATCTCAATAATGTGATTCAGACTTTTTGTCATATAGAGTATTTTTAACATATAAATATGCAATGTTACGGTATACATTACGTATATATGGCAAATATTTTTTAATATTAAATTTACTTTCGCAAATGAGAATTTTGAGAAATTTTAAATATATACCTTTCAAAAGATATCTCATTATTTTCTACATTCTAGAAATAGTGATGATTAGTCTCTTGGAATTTAAAAATGAATGCCCCATGTCAACTCTCTTCCCGCATGAGTATTTATCTATTGACAGCATTTTTCATTTCCGGTTTCTTTCTATCAATAATATGCTCCAAATCTGCCTTGCCTAGCAAGTTCATTAGATCTTTCCCTGAATGAACATATCTAATTCATGCTTGCATAGAAAGTTGTAGAACAACGATTATCAGAGGCTGAAGATATGTATGCATATATATATATATATATATATGTATGTATGCATGTATTTAATAAATTTGAAACTGTTTACTGTGTTGTTAGAATGATGACTCGTTAGTATAACTTAGACCTGCTAGTGGTATCATAGATTGAAGATGGATGCATAAAAAAGCAGACTTGCAGACAGGTCAGATTAAAAAAATATCTTTTTTATTACAGTTAAAGACTTTGGGGCACAAATATGTTGCCACATTAATCTAGGCCATTCCAGAAATAACATTTATATTTTTGAGACAACTGCGATAAGTAGAAAGAAGTGAAGCAGCAGTAGTCTAGCGAAAAGAAGACGCAAAAGCAAAGTGCAGTGCATTCAAGGTGAAATTTTCATTCAATGTTGGTTAGTTTCAATTTCAACACATTTGATTCATTAATTAATAATGCCCTAAGATTATTATTTGTGGTTAAATTTTAGTTCCATTTACATCACCTGTGTTATGTAAAAGTCATATGATGTGGATTAATACAGAAATGACACTGTCCAGAAAAAAAAATTATTACAAAGAATTACTATTTTTGGAACAAAGATCGGAAATACCCAAATTAAAATTGAGAACAAAGGGGCTATTGCAAAATTAAAGTTAGTAATTTGCTTTCATATATTATATCTTATGCATACATATATATATGTTATTTGTCAAATGCCAGTTACATTGGCTGTTAGGCCATTAAACTCCTTGCTTGCCAACAGTGCTGAAATCTACAAGAAATATTTGTCAGTGCTTCACACTCATCCAAATGTTCCGTCGTTATTGGCCGTCCACTATTACATAAAACACACAACAGCAAATCAGCTAGTCCAATGTGAAATAAACAATTCTGTAGACAGTCATGTCCTGTCAATAGTCTAAAAGATGCAACTGCAAATGTTTGCGGGTGGTCAGGAACAAAAGCTAAATTTGTTGAGAGAACACTCCAAGGCTTGCCCTCACAAGCCCGAGTGGCAAAATCTCTAAAAGACTTTTGATACATTAGCAATGTCAGAAGCTTAATAGAATGGAGGTTAGCACTCGTTTTTTGCTTTTGGAGAACTGTAACCCACTTTTTTGCAAGCATATCAGACATCTCATACCCATAAATACCGCAATGTAAAGGTACCCATTAAAAAGATATCTTGAGGGAAAGTTCTTTTATGACTTCCTGACACTGTTGAACAAATATGCTCTTACAATCTTAGTAAGAGGAGATGGCCTGTATTCCTTAAGTCGAATCAGACAGAACAACAGCACTCCTGAACAAGCTCTGTCTCAAGGATAATTGTTGGAGAGCTACATGAATGGCTTTCAGTTCTTCATCAAAGTGAGTGGAGTAAACCCCTACAGCTATGTAGAAACTGAAAAGCTTGCTAAAAACACCAGCCCCAGCCCTCTGGATCCTATCGGTCAAAGAGCCATTCATACATACATGTATCTAGACTAGAAGAGAACACCGCTAATGTGACAATCAAAATCGTAAAAACAACCTTGTATTTAGCGTAAGTATATAGAAACAATCGATTTCGAGGGCAGCTAAAAGTCCCTCCTCATCAGGAGAAAGAAATACATAGAAAAAAGAAGAAAATAAAGGGGAAGGAAGTCTCAGAAACACGTGGTCCTTATCAGCACTGCACGTGGTTATAACCGGATTTTTAATCAGAGTTGCACTGGCCGCCTACTTTTACTGAGCCAGGCTATCTGATCAAACATGTAACCATAAAGGACAAGAAAAATTAGCGAAGTTAAAAAATAGGGAGCGAGGGGCAAATGCACCTTCACGCTCAAAATCTGAACTTCAAATAATGGAAAGCAACCACTGAACGGATTTTTATACCCTCTGGTAACGCGACTGGTACCAAACGCGAGGAGGTAACGCCATCTATCGGCAAAAATAACTGAATTAAGATAGTAGAATTTTAAAGGCATTAGGAAGGACTGGATTGGACTTCAAATCATTAACTAAACCTGCTAAATCTTTGTGAATATGAAAAGCCTCAAGAAAATCCAATTCACCTATGGAAGAAGCCTTTTGGATAATTTTTGCAGACCCAAAGTCAAAATTATGGTTAAATGTCCAACTATGATACGCTATTGAAGACTTGTTAATTTCGCCTTTTCTGACATAAGATTCATGTTCCTTGATACGAAACTTCAACGCTCTTTTTGTTTGGCCAATATATCTTAAACCACACTGACACAATATACTATAAATTCCCCAAGAATTCAAGACAGAAATGCAAATTCCGCACGCTTAAAGTTTGTTCCTCTGAATCTTTGCTTACCAATGAACTGAATTACTTGAGAGCAGTTGCGATTGACTGTGGATTTTCTCCCGTGATTATGGATAAAGGTGTTAAAAAATTTTCAGATTCCCATCAAAGAAGACATTCCACTGTTAGAAATAATATTAATGAGCTTGTCACGCTTCCATTTTATCCTTCTGTTAGCTATAAAATTGCACGGATTATATTAGCTATAAAATTGCACGGGAAAATCTGTAGCTATAAAATTGCACGGATTTTCCAGAAATTCAATTTTCAAGTTGGCTTCTTCCCTATTAATAAAATTCACCCTTTGATTCTAAAGGATTGAGTTTCTGTCTTGAATTCTTGGGGAATTTATAGTATATCGTGTCAGTGCGGTTTAAGATATATTGGCCAAACAAAAAGAGCGTTGAAGTTTTGTATCAAGGAACATGAATCTTATGTCAGAAAAGGCGAAATTAACAAGTCTTCAATAGCGTATCATAGTTGGACATTTAACCATAATTTTGAATTTGGGTCTGCAAAAATTATCTAAAAGGCTTCTTCCATAGGTGAATTGGATTTTCTTGAGGCTTTTCATATTCACAAAGATTTAGCAGGTTTAGTTAATGATTTGAAGTCCAATCCAGTCCTTCCTAATGCCTTTAAAATTCTACTATCTTAATTCAGTTATTTTTGCCGATAGATGGCGTTACCTCCTCGCGTTTGGTACTACCAGAGGGTATAAAAATCCGTTCAGTGGTTGTCTGGTGAAGGTTTTGTAAACATGTCTGCATACATCATTTTGCTGTTGCGGTGTTGTAATTTAAAAATTCCTTGATTTTGTATATCACAAACATAGTGATATTTGACATCGATGTGTTTGGTGTAACTGCTCCCTTTTTCTTTTCTGGAAATTTTGTTCTTGAATACGATGTTAGCTTCCTGTTGAGCGAAGCCTAAATCTTCCATCAGTTGTCTTATCCATTGTAGGTCCTGCAAGGTTAAAGCTAGAGCGATATATTTGGCTTCTGTTGAAGATAAGGTGACACAATTTTGTTTCTTGCTTGTCCATGATACCATACTGTTTCCTATTTGAAATATATATCCGGATGAGGATTTTCTGTAAGAGGTATCTCCAGCCCAATCATTGTCACTGTAAGCTTTGATGACTGGTGCACCATTAGATTTTAGATGTAATTTGTAATTAATTGTAGCTCGTATGATTTTAATGATATCGTTTCGAATGTCGAAATATTCTTTGACAATTCGTTCAACTGATTCACACTTGTCGCTCGGGACTAACATGCCATCAACGTATACAATTATGTAAGTTCTTGCGTTTTCTCGATTAGTGTGAAGGAAACATGGATCAGCCTTTCCTTGAACGTATCCTTGTTTGCGCAGGATTTCAGCTATCTTGTGATTCCAGTTTCTGGCTGCCTGTTTTAATGCGTAGATACTTTTATTCAGTTTACAGACTTCATTTGCTTCTGAAGCAGAGATGTAGCCTTCCGGTTGCTTCATATATATATATTATATCTTCTTTCAGATCTCCATATAGAAAAGCTGTTTTTACATCGAAGTGATTTACGTGCATCTTCTTTTTAGCTGCTATTGCCAAAATAGTCCTTATTATTGTATACTTTACGACTGGTGCGAATGTTTCGTCGTAGTCGTGCCCAAATTTTTGGTAATATCCTTTAGCTACTAAACGAGCTTTATATCTGATAACATTTCCTGAAGCGTCGGATTTTTTTTTTTAAATGTCCATTTGTTTCCAATTGCTTTCTTTCCTTTTGGAAGATCGACTAGTTCCCATGTTTTGTTCCTCTTCAGTGCTTCCATTTCTTCTTTTGTATATTTTAACCACAGTTCCTTCTCTTTGTTAGGAGAAGTTTGAAATTCTTCCCAGTATTTGGGAACTTTGATTTCTTCATTCTTAGCCATG